CTCCAACCCGAGCTTCCGCATCCGGAGCTCGACCGACGCCACGGCTAGAGAAGCCCTGTGCGCCGCCTCATCGTCCGTCCCGCCCTCAGCCAGGACAAGAGTGTCGTCCGCATAGCACACGAGGGAGCATCCTTTCGGAAGGCCCCCTCGCAGCACCGAGTCGTACCCCAGGGTCCATAATAGCGGGCCTAAAACGGAACCCTGGGGGACCCCGCACGTCACCTTGCGGGTGCGCAATCTCCCGTCTACACACGGGAAGACGACACTCCTGTCGCTGAGGTACGCGTCCAACACCGCACGCAGATAGATAGGGAGGCCCCACTCGCGCGCCGCGATCCGGACACTCCCCCACGCGAGGGTGTTGAACGCGTTCCGGACATCTAGGCTGGCGGCAACACACACGCCGCCGCCCCCAGTACAGCCCTCGACCGTCGCGCGCACACGCGCCACAGCGTCGCACGTGGACAGCCCGGCGCGGAACCCGAACTGACACGGCGACAAACCCCCACCACGCNAGACGCACTCCTCGATGCGCCCCACNAGCACCCTCTCNAAGAGTTTGCCCAGCTCGTTCANNAAGCACAACGGCCTGTATGACGGCTGGGCACCCTCTCGCCCGGGCTTCGGGACGAGCACAAGGCGCGCCCGCTTCCACGCGGTGGGAAACGCCCCCCGCCTCAGGCAGCCGTTGAAGCAGTCAACCACTGCTTCCGGAACGATCGCGGCTACCCGGGCCCATACCGCGCACACCANGCCGTCGATACCCGGCGCCGTGCGTCGCCTCATCATTCTTTTCACCGCCGCACGGAGCTCGTCGGCGGTGACCTCGTAGTCGGGCCTCCAGGGGATACGCTCCCACCTCCGTCGCCGCTCAGCCCCGCGCCACGGGAACAGAGTCCGGACCGTGCCAAGAGCCTCCGACACCCCCAGGCTCTCCGTAACAGAGAGGGGAGCCTTTGGACGAAGCCGGGACAGGACCACCCTGTAGGGGGTTCCCCAAGGGTCCCCGTCCAACGTGGACACCAGCTCCGTCCACGCCGCCCTCTTCGCGGACACTACGGTCACCCGGAGTTCCCGCTGCGCCTCCCGAAGGGAGACTCGCAGCGCCTCCAAGGCCTCGGGTCCCCCGCGCCCCCGGCGCCTCGCCCGGTCGTACCGCCGTCTCCGCATGAGGCACACAGCCCGCAACTCTGCGAGGTGCGCTGACCACCAATACGTCGCTTTGCGTGCTGCCACGCGTCGAACCCGCGGCATCGATGCGTCACACGCATCGGACACCATTTGGGTGAGCCAGCGCACCCCCTCGTCCGTCGAGGCCCCCGAGGGGACGAAACCACGCCACGTCGCCCCCAGAACAGCCGCCCCGAACGCATCCTCGTCCCATTCCTTGTGGTTCCACCGGGGAAAGTGGACCTTGCGCACCCTCGGCGCCGCACCCCTTCCATCCTCCACTCGGAATGTGATGTAGCGGTGGTCCGACAGGGACTCCTCGCCGAGAACCATCCACTCCGACACCTGTCGGGCCACCGCCACGGACGCCCAAGACACGTCGACCACGGAACTGCCCCGAGTACGAAC